GTGTGTGTGTGTGTGTATTCCCATTGAGGGCAGACCTCCTGAAAAAAAAATCCATATTAGGTTATATACAAACACTCTATGCTTAACCCCAGGCATGGCCACATAGATTACCAATGCAACACCACTCAGCCTTTTCATATTATGACTTAGGGGGCTGCTTTTCCAGTAACAATCAATAAATCATCATAATAGTTCAAACTTGCATGCTTAGCCTTTTTCTCCCACTGGTCCTCAAGCATGCGTGGATAAATAACTGCCAATGTGTTTCAGTTTCCTCAGAGAGACACGTGGTCCATAAAGACTTTTTCAGAGCAAAGGTCACAGAGTTAGTACCTTCCCATTTCCAATCTCACGATCACTTTTAGCTCTCTTGTCCTGGTCAACCATAACCAGCCAGGTCAACGCCACCTCCGGGGTTTAGGGAAAAGGTCATTAATGTCACCAGCCAAGTTCAACTATGATCGATATGCTGCTAAGGCAGCATGGACATGATAGCATTGAGAGAGTTTATCATGCAAGTGAAATAGATTGGATTGGGTAGGACACAGATTATATATATGTCTGTAATACTGCGCTTTGGGGACAGCATTCATAGTTAAACCTCCTTTTCTTTATATCAAAGCCTGTTTTTCCATTATTGACATTATTTATGGTCATCAACAATAGCCAATAATTATACAAACAAGGAATTCATAGGAAATGATGCACACTTTTGTCTCATTGATGGAAGCTTCCCTGTTTACTGATTGCTGTCTACAGCTGTACGCTGCTTCATATTAAAGTGTTCAACTCAATGATTGGCTTTTATTGTGAAGCAGCCACAGGAGATGTGATGTCATTTGTTGCTGAAGTTTGTGCTGATGCGTCAACAAAACAAGACAAGGCAATTTTTGGAAATATTTGTCAGGAGATCAATTTTAAATAGTGCAGGGATTAATGGAACAAGATGGAACAGCCAGAATACGCTGTTAGATGTAGAGCTGCAGGTGACAGACTGTTACTGTGGTTTGTACAAACAAGAAAGTCCTCCAAGTACATAACTCCTTTGATTGTACCAAAAATGCATATTAACTTTCGTCTTGTCTTGTTCCCCAAAGCTGACAGTTTGTTGGCTGCACTGTAAACCGATACGTGAGTTACTATTCTTTTGTTCTCTGGAACCTGGAGAAGTAAAAACGCATATCAACTAGAACTGAAAGTATTATAATATTAAAATGCAGTCAAGAAAAACAATTTGACTAAGTAGGAAACCTTCACTCTTTAGTCTCACAGTATTCAGGTCATTGTTGTTATATAATTAGCTATCATTAGCGGTGAAATCTCATGACTCCATCCATTATAACTGTAACTTATGACTTGCCTGCTCTAGACAGTCATAGGGGTCATATAAAGGAAAACAGAT